TTTAAATTGAGTTCATTAATATTAGTTAATATATTATCAAGGCAAGAGCTTGAAGTAAGTGAAACTCTTGTTGTTGCTTTTATGAAATGTTTTAAACCGTACATGGTTAAGAAATTTAGTATTTCACAAACATGCTCTGAATAGATAGATAATAGTATAGAGGGGACAACAGAAAATAGTAAAGAAAGCAAATAGAGAAGAACGGATTAAGACAGAAGATAATGGGGAAATAAAAATAGTGTCAAATATTCGTAAAACATTGTCGGCATTAAATAGAGAAAAACAATTGATAATTAAAGAGTTTTTTTTTAATTGCAGGTATATTTCTGGACCGGTTCTCCGGCCTTACCAGCGAGCGAAGACGGCTTCCAGCCGATGCCTTCAGTGACCATTCGCCCGGCCGACGATGCCCATTTGCCCACGGCCAACACTTGTATATCTCGACTATATATCCCGTTATACAGCAGTAGAACAGTCCTAAGGCAGAAATTGCTGCTCGCCATCAAAACCAAGAATTTCGGATTCGTGTAAATTTGGCAACATTGTGAAACTAGAAACGCGACGAAAAAATAATAGTTTATTATGTTTTGGCAATTTCGAATCGGCGACAATTCGATGTGTCTCAATATTATTATATTTGGAATTTGTGATTGATTCTTATTTCAAATTGTTTATTTTAAGGTTTTGTATATAGGTCGAATACAGTGGCACAATGTATATTTGGTTATTTGATTTCTTATATTTTCCTTTCCTTAAAATTCCTAGTTGTTCTGTCTTCCACCGAAAGAAGATTACATGGTCCGTATATGGGACGTAATATTGTCAAAACAAGATGAATATTTTGAAAAATCTGACTTCAGAAACCGATTTAAGTCATTAGAAAAACTTTGTAATAGATGTATTGATCCGAAGAATAATAATTCTATAATATTTGTGTAAAATCAAGTAATTTTAATCTTATCCTTGTAAATTCAATGATAGAGGTGGGCCCTAACTCATAGAGTGTAACTGTTACACCTGTGTCACAAGCACAGACTACAGATTTTAAAAATAAATCTTAAATTGGCGGTTTTTATATAGTAAAGCATATATTTTGTGGAAATTTAACAAAAAATGCAAACATAATTGTGTTTTATTACGAATTTAAAAATATTAACAATGGAACAAGTGAGCAAATTCTACATTAGCGTCGGCAAGAAAACGAGAAATGAAGGGTCTGTATTACCGCTCAACTGGCCAGAGAAAATAATGCAGATATGTTAAAATTCTGAAGAGTACATACGGGCTGGAATATTCAAGATTTGGATAATGTTCTTCTCACAGATAAGTCTGGCTTTTACTTAGAATACATGTTTAAATAATGCATTTACTTGATTTATTTCCTTCTCTTTAAAATTCCTGATTGCCCATAATATGTATTATATTTCCTTTTTTTCTTAAAGTAAACAACGTCGAAGAACATACCAAGAACAAGAAGATTAAAAAAAATACTGGTTTGGTGACGAATGTAGAACAGAGTTAAAAAAGATCAGATTTGAGATTAAAAAGTTATGCCGAACAACGAAAAAAGTAAAGAAAGTCCCAAGGGTGTGAAAAAGAAAGTATATGGATGAGAAAGTAAAGCGTATTGAAGAAAATTACACCAAAAACTAACAAAAAATGTTTACAGATGTAAAATACATTAAACACATATTGGCTATCAGGGAAGAACGATGAATGTAAAAGATAAGCAAGGAAACCTGATAGTGGACGAAGACCAAATATGTGAAAGGTGGAAAGAATTAATGTTCCTAAACCTCAAATAGTAACAGAAGAAATACCACAAGATAAGAAATTGAAGAAATAATAAAAGATATGAAAAATCAAAAAACCCCCAGGGAGAGTGGTATTGTGGCAGAGAATTTAAAATATGCAGGAGAGGCTTCAATAAACTAACATAGTGAGCTAATACTAGAAGTGTGGGATGCCGAAGAAATGCCTAAAGAAATGGAATAAGTGTATTATAATTCCTATACACAAAGAGGGAAATAGAACTGAATTCGTAAACTATAGAGGAATATCCATGTTAGAGGTAATATACAAAGTGCTCGCCATACTAATTAAAAAAAGATTAGAAATATATGTAGAGAAGAATCTAGAATACCAAGGAGGATTTCGCAAGAGAAGATCAACAACCGATAAAATTTTTATGCTAAAACAAATCCTGATGAATTGCTATGAATACAACAATTCTGCACAATTACTTTTCATTGATGACAAAGCCGCCTACGATACAATAGACAGAAACAAATTAATAGGAACGCTAAAAGAATTTCAAGTGCAAGAAAAAATGACAATAAGACAAACCATTTGTGCTGTGAAATACAACGGTACAGCCTCAGGAAAAAAAATCAACGGGAGATCCGTTATCTATTCAATATAGTTCTAGAAAAAATTATAAGGGTTAGTCGGATAAATAGGTCCAATACTATTTTATACAAAGAGTATCAATGCTTAGCATACACTGATGATGTGGTTCTCAATGCAAGAAATGGAAAAGAACTAGCAAGTATAGTAAAAAGACTGATTCAGGAAAGCTCTAAAATGGGACTGAAAGTTAATATTATTAAATCCAAGTACATGGAAATCTCGAGCAAAAAAGGAATAAACACCATGGGCTTTTTTAAATTGGAGGTAGAGGATGGATCAGTTGTAGAATTAGAAAAAGTGGATGAATATATATATATACTTAGGTACTCTTATTGATCAGACATGTAAGGAAGAAACTGAAATCAATCTGAGACTGACCAAGAGCAACATAACACAGCAAAATAATTAAGGCCAAAGATATATCTCGTAATACAAAAATAAGAGTATACAACACGATTTAGACCCTCAATGCTATAAGCTCCCGAGAAATGGACTCTGAACAAATCCATATAAAACAGATTGGAAGCATGGGAAAGAAAGATACTTTACAGAACTTTTGGTGGAAAAGTAGTAGAGGGAGAAGACGAATTAATGCAGAAGTATACCAATTTTATGCTAACCCTACAATAACAAAAGTGGCGAAAAAACGTAGCCTAGAATGGCTCGGAATTAACCAAGGGTTACATGAAGCCCAACAACTAGCCCATAACAGAGAAGGATGGAGGGAAATCGTGAAAAAACTGTAAAGCCCTGATGGTGTCACCACATCCCAAAAGGTATTAGGACTGAGGAGGAGGAGAAGAATGGCTCGGACATCTAGAAAGAATGAAAGGTAATAGACTAGTCAAGAATATTGTTTGGAGAGTACCAGGGACAAAAAATGAGAGAAAGAAATGGGGAGCTGTAGTGATGGGAATCAGAGATTGGAAGCTGACAGCTAAGAACAGAAAACGATGGAAATTATCCATTCAGCAACGGACCTAAAATGCTTGAAGAAATTAAATTTTGTTTTCTTATTTAAATATTTCCCAGAAAATGTAGGTGCATTCAGCGTAGAACGATTCCACCAAGACTTAAGCAGAAAGAGCTTAATTTTCAAGGTCGTTGCTATGTACGAATGATGGCAGATTACTGTTGGTATATAAAAACAGGTTCTTGTTATTTACCTATACCCATTTGAAACAGAAAGACTTTTATTTTAAGGTGTTATGCGTATTATTTTAGAAAAGAAAAAATTAACGGGTCTACATAACATCGAAAGTGACCTAAAACCATACACTGATCGTTGCGATACTATCCCATTCCTCCAATAAAAACTGACGCACCACGTGACTTAAATGGCCAATGAGAAGGTCATGCGGTTGATAAACCCATCCCATTAAAAAGAAATGCGAAATGTTCTATGGTAGCATTAAGTTTATTTGTATTATATGTCAAAATATGCCAAAAACCGCTATTTTTGCACTTGTAGGTTAGGATATCTCGGAAACCAATTTGTCAATTTGGAGCTCAGATTCGTTGCAACACACCAAAAACCTTCGGAAAAGTATAATCTATTTTCTTGGACTCAGGCTTGTGTAACTTTTTTTTTTAAATAAAGTGTCTTGGCAACTATGGGCCATTGACACTGGTACAAAGTTTAATTCAATATGTTTATGTTTACATACATACATATACAATCTGTTTATATACTTAAGGATACATTGTAAAGGTGACATTGTTTTCAGAAGACCTCAGATATCCATGAGTAAGACGAGTGTGACCTATTCTGAGCCTTCTGATAATGATATTGTCTTTTCTGCTCATTTGAGTCATGGTGAAGGAGGTAACAGTTGGTTGAATTGTGCGGAGTTTTGTATTTTGCACGTTCAAGTGTGTTTGCCAAGTGTTTAGTACGTTGTTGTTGATACTGGCCTTTAGGTTTTGGTGAAGTTGTATGTTTTCCATATTTTCTAAGGAGCATGGGATGGTATCCAGAGGATAGTTACTGAAACACCATTATTTGACTGCTGTTGGCAGATATTGTGGATGCTCTGTACAGTGGGATGTATGGAGTATATATTTCTGATTGAGTCAATTGCGGAGAGAGAATCGGTGCATATTGTTAATGATTTCTCATTAGCAATGGGTGAGTCTAATGCCTTGATTATTCCGTACAGTTCGGCTGTGTGTATACTGGGAGATACTGTATCTGGGAGAAAGCCGATATGATGCTACTATTGTATTTGAGGTACTGACGGCACTGAAGAAAAAAAAAATTAAAGGCAATGAAATTTATAATCACAACTCGATATTAGTAAATGATACAGCAGGTAATCATTGTAGAAAATCGTGAAAAAAAAAAATAAAAATAAATACAAAAAAAAATTGACAAACATTCTTCTAGTAGTTTGTTTTTCATTTATTTTAGTTTCCTTATTCTGTAGTTACCACTCTGGAATATTTAATATGCTTACAAAGTACAGAGTTAACGTCAATATTGATATTGTAATTGTGTTTCCAGAAACAAAGGTTAATAAATACAAACACACTTAGAAAAACATTTATTCCTACAATGTTACGATTATAAAGATATCTTAAAATTATACTATCAAATTTACAAATTGTACATTTATGTTTCACACTCTTATTTAATCCCTTTTATACCTGTCATTGGCCATCGTAATCCTAAGAGTGCTCGGTTTTAGAGTACCCGCATTATAATCAAAACCCGGTCTTGCAATTTTCCGCGTTTGTGGCGTATCTTCCGCTTCGGACGACGAAGATCCGCTATCGGATTCCTCGGACTCCGATTCGCTAAAAAACAAAATATTACCATTAATATATTATAAAATATAATAATAATAAACATTTCGGCAGATCTACAGAAAAATGAAGAAGTTTTTGATGTTTCAAGCAATCACAGCAGCGTATTTGGGTCACGTGACTAGATATTTCACCAGATCTGGGGAAAATGGCAGAAACCGAAAAATAGTTTTAACATTTCAGTTCCGATAATTATCTTGTGAAGGATCATTTATACTACAAGCTCTTATATCTAATGTGCAAGAATTAAAGACTTTATTATTGGCATTTATTATTGTTGTAATGTTACATCTTAAGGGGATTTTTGATTAAAGAGAAAAGTATGTCGTAGATAACTTATTTATTTTTTCGTTATTTAATTATGAAAAAATGATAATATCGGTTTAGAACAGTTAATTTAATATTGAGTGTCCCACCTCTAATAATAAAATATTAATGAACGTTGGGCAAGTTACGGCCACACAATACTAAATAAATAAATAATTAGAGATAATTACATTAATAATTACAAAATAAATAGAGGAACATTTCAATTAAGATAAACTTTTTGTTAGATAACTTTTGCTACATAACTTTTGTAAATTTGTATTTTCAAAAATAAAATAATTTTTAAAAACTCGTTTTCGAAACACAAAGTTATAATTGGCGCAGTCAGTAGGATACGTGCGGATCGGAAAAGCACATTTTAAGCATCAAGTGATAGAACTTTTTCGATTTTTGGTGTTTCAACATCGTAGTGCGTATCCAAATCGAACCTCTACCCTACAGTGGTATTAACGAGAACAAGCAGAGTTCCAGAGGAAGCAAAAGTTCGGAGAAGAGAAGCAAGTGCTCCAGATAACTGTTCAACAAAATGAAGACAATAATCGCCTTGACCCTGATGCAGATGATATACCAGACGTCCAACCAGGTTAGAGATGGCATCGATATTAGTATAAGACATAATAGAATTACAAGAAGATTCCAAAAACCAGCCAAATTGGATTGTATCAGCCAAATGTGCACTTAAAGTTGTAGCATTTTATATTTAATATAGTTTCTGTTTAAATTTTTGTAGTACGCCCCTGGTTGTTTATACCAAGAGATTCTTAAATGCGTAATAACGCTGGAAATATTTTTTTTTGTCTCTGTTACATTGTCAGGTTAAAATTAGGGACGCTAGAATAATCAATAACTACGTGTTATTTTTACCCAATTTAAAAGTAAATATACATGAGTCCCCTAATATTCTGGTTGAAAAAAAGTTTTTTTGTTCGTTTCGAGTTTGTTAAGAACGAATATCAAGGGGGATATTGTTTATTTTAAATTGGTAGGCAAAACAAGCTGCAAGAGGAGAAAGGGGAATGATTTGTGGCGTCGCATTTGTAGAATGTAACGCAGGAGGAGTCGGAGAAAAGATTTGAAACTAGGTAGACGTTTCTGCGGACTAAAAGTCAAACCAGATCAACCGAAAGATGTAGAATGTTGGGGCAATTTTGAATCAAAAAGTCAAAAAAGGAAAAATGTATTAATTTTTCCAAGTAAAATGGACATTGTTAATAATTGCTTTCATTAAAATAAAAGAATTTGTAATAATTAAAGTTTTATATTATGTTATGAATCGTAGCTAAAAATGTTATATTTTATTCTGATTTAAAATGTTATGTTGACATATGACATTTGGTATAATCCATTGTTGTTTGTAAAACAATTTCAATTTGATTATTATATATAAAAGATATTTCATATATAAGGTTAAATTCTACATTATTTTCATAAAAAGGATATCCATAAGTTTTTTGATAATCTAATTTGGCCATATTATAACCTAGGAACCATTTCAAAAAATTTTTGTAGCAATCTCTTTTGTAAACGAATAACACGTAAGTTTTTGTTAATTTGTATTATGTTATAAATATAGTATGTTTCTTGTGTAATCTGTATTTTTGGTAACTGTTTGTTTGAGGCAAAAATAAATAAAAATGAGGTTTGATTTGTTTCTCTGGTCCATTTTGTGTTTTAATTTAGAAAAGTCTCGTAATCCTTGTATGTATTTTGGATTGTAGAGAAGAAGAATTTTTTCTTTCTTCCAGCAGGAAGTTTTCTTCAATGCGGCGTCCAAATATAAATACCTAGAGGTAAATTTGTCTGCCATATCTTGTTCGTTTTTGACCCAGAAGATTTATGTAAGTATCCCTTTGTTTTCATTTAGTAGATACCCCAATCCGACCCAAATTTATTTCAACTCTCCAATCCATGACCCAGCTCTCCAACAACCCTCTGAGTGCCGTACGCACTAGTTTCGATTATTTTGTTTGCCCAATCTTCTCCCCCATGTTCTTACCCTGAGGTAAGCAAAATAGTTTGTTACAAAGTGGTACTTTATTGCAATTTTAATTAAAAAAGAATAGCCATAGTATAAATTATTGTAAATTGTTATTGGAAAATAACGTTAGAGCTTAGGATACATAAAACCTCAAGAAGGAGTATTTGCTTTTCAAAGTATTGTTGATTTTCTTCGAGAAATAATAAGGACATACAACTTTTTGCCGCTCTCTAGTGGGACACTGAAAAAACTCTGCGAGAAGAAGTAAGCAACTTACCTTTCTTCACTGGAACTAGCACTTTCCGACTCAGAATTCGAACTCTCCTCCTCGGAGCTGGAACTTTCCTCGCTCTCGCTCTCTTGTGCTTTGGACCAGATCGTAGACGCCACCGTCGGCTGTTTTTGTTTCTTTATCACGACCGCCACCTTACTTCTGGGTTTCGCCTCGGCGTCCTCTTGATCCGAGTGGTCGTACTCCTGATATTTAGAATATCTGTTGTATCTGACGGTACGTTCGGGCGTTGCGTGTCTTCGGTGTAATGGCGAACGTCGCCGAACGGGGGATTCGTCTCTGCGCAGGGGGCTTCTGGCTCGGTGTCTAACAACATAGAAATGGATCAAATACTAAACTAGTAAAACGATAGTATTTATAAAAGAAATCATTTTTATTACGTTTTTGTAGAGATTATAAATTAATCACTCATTTAAGAAACAACATGAGTCAGAAATTATAGTTTTGAGTAAATCACAAAAAACTGTTTTAAAGCGCTGTAAGAAAAACTGCTTTAAAAATAATTGTTGCAATAATATTTCACTATGCTGTACAACTGTACATTATGCATTACTTTTGGTAAAAATTATTTATTCTTAAGTCATATTATGGTTTTAAAAAAGTGACATGTTTCGGAACAGAAATAAAAAAAAATATTTTTTTTAGAAATTGTATTGTCTGTCAAACAAATTATAAGCATTAATCATCATTAATTGCATCAGTAGTAGGCCACTGTATAATCTTTTCAAAAAAGATCTTACTTAATCTGGTATGTAGTCCATGAGTTTGCGTATATCTTCAAGAACTGTTGGTAAAAATGGAATTCTAGCACTTATTTTAAGTTTAAAGTTATTAGTGATAAAACCATTAATATATTCCGATACTGTTACAGTCCCTGGTTGGTTTGAAGAATAAAAAAGAATGGTAGTAGTTTCAAATCTGGAAAGTGATTGTTTTATCCTTTTCTTTTCTACCAATTGAGTCGCTAAACCAACACGTTTTTTTTTTGTAATGTTTAGGGTACCACTTTTTAAATTCAAAAATATTCGATGTTTCCACCATTTTAATAAAAAACTTTTTGTGTCGTGTATAATTTACTATCATTTTTATATATTCTTTTGGGTAGTATACAGAGTCAAAGTTTTTTATGACTCTTTTATTGCTACAAAGTTTCTATCGACGATTACCACAGGCGAAAAGAGAGGAAGCTGAAACGATTGTTCAGGGAATGAAGAAAGACCTTCTACGAGCCCATGGGTCTCTCCGGTGGTCCTGGTTAAGAAGAAAGACGGAACGACGAGGTTCTGTGTGGATTACCGTTTGCTGAACAACGTTACCGAGAAACATAGTTATCCTCTGCCTCAGATCGACGACATATTGGACACATTGGCTGGAAGTAAATTGTTTTCTACTTTAGATTTGAAGTCTGGATACTGGCATGTAGAAATGGACCCAGTAGATAAAGAGAAGACAGCCCTCACCACAGGATCTGGATTGTGGTAATTCAACGTTAAGCCATTTGGACTCTGTAATGCTCCTGCGACATTTGAAAGGCTTATGGAAAATGTGTTGAGAGGGTTATCTTGGAAAACATACCTGATTTATCTAGATGACATAATTGCCTTGGAGGAGACATTTGAAGATCATCTGAAGAATTTAGAAAACGTTTTTAATCGACTTAAAGCTGAACAATTGATATTAACCCCCAAGAAGTGCCAGCTATTTCAAGGTAAATTATCTGGGTCCTATAGTCGGTAAAGAAGGAGTGACCGTGGATAAAAGAAAAATCGATTCCATTAAGGAATGGCCAGAACCAACTGACAAAAAACAAGTGAGAAGTTTTCTTGGACTATGTACTTACTACCGGAGGTTTATTAAGAAATTTGCAGATGTCGCTAAGCCATTAACGCGACTTACAAAGGAAGCAAGAAATTACCGCTGGGATACAGACTGCCAAAATGCCTTTAGACCTTGAAAAAGCATTTAATCACAGCACCAATTTTAGGGTATCCACTGCCAGAAGGAGAGTTCATCTTAGATACAGATTCAAGTAATGTGGGAATTGAAGGAGTGCTATCTCAGATTCAAGAAGGACAGGAACAAGTCCTTAGATATTTTAGTAAAGTTCTTTCAAAACCTGAGCGGAATTATTGCGCCACGAGAAGAGAACTTCTACAAGTACTGAAATCAGTAGAGCACTTCTATCAATACCTCTATGGAAGGAAGTTTTTTAATCCGAACCGACCATGCCGCCCTTAAGTGGTTAATGCAGTTGAAGAATCCAGAGAGTCAGTTAGCCAGATAGATCGAACGAGTCCAAGAATACGATTTCAAGAATGAACACCGGGCCGTTCAGTTAGTCACAGAAACTCTGATTCTCTTTCCAGAAGACCATGTTCGGCAGAATGTTCCCACTGCAACAAAACAGAATCCAAGGAAGCAGCAGTGCTAAGAACAACGATGGTCTACTAAGATAAGGAAAAACAAGAGAGAGAGCCAGTTGTACAGAAAATGGAAAGAGGAAAACCGTCGACCACCTTGGCAAGAAATATCAAACCTATGCTCAGTAGTTAAAATGTATTGGGCCCAGTGGGACTCATTTATCATGGAAGATAACTTGCTCAAACTAGTACTGGAAAATGAAGACGGCTCAGAGAAGAGAAAACAGTTGGTGATCACAAAGAGCAGAATAGCAGTAGTAGTTCGTCAGTTACAAAACAGTCCATCAGGAAAGCATTTCGGTGTAAAGAAAACCCTTCGGCGAATCCGGGAACGGTTTTATTGGATGAACAGTTCCGACGACGTAAGGACTGTCTAAGAAATGTCCTATCAGTGCTACGAGTAACGGACCTTACCGAAAAAGAAGTGCTGCTATGAGACAATATAATGTTGGAAGCCCGCTTGAAAGAATAGCTTTGGACATTGCTGGGTCATTTCCAGAAAGTGAAAATGGAGGCAAGTACATGTTGGTAGTAATTGATTACTTCACTAAGTGGGTCGAGATTTACGCACTTCCAAACCAGAAGGCCGATACCATTGCAGATAAGTTGTTCAAAGAATATATCAGCCGATTTATTTGACAAAGATGATGTCCGATCATCAGCAAGGCTGGGACCAATATCTTCCGTTCTTCGCAATGGCCTAGAGATTTGCTGTTAACGAATCAACAGGCCAGACACCAGCGAAAGTCATATTCGGACGCGACATGCGACTACCTTGTGATCTGGAGTTTGGGTGTCGACCTGAAGAAGATGTAGCAGATGAAGATTATGTGATAGAATTACGAAGAAGAATGGACGATGTATATAAAGACCGAATGGACCGAATAAAGAAACGGTACGGTACGCAAGCCAAAAAGGGGTGCTTTAAGAAGAACGACAAAGTCTGGCTCTATAATCCCAACAAGCGAAAAGGTTGTTCTCTCAAGATGTAGCAGTACTGGTAAGGTCCATATCTCATTATGGAGAAGATCAACGATGTCATCTACCAAGAAAGAAAATTCCGAGAGGAAAGCCGATGATAGTACACCATAACTGGCTGGCGTCTTTCGAAGATTGAACACCATAACCGGTTGAACGACATAGTTGAAGAAATGGAAGTAAACCAAGTCCAAGATGTGTCTGACCTAACGTTTGAGGAATTCATGGGGGCCTATGGAGGTACCGGTAAAGCAAGATATGGTGTTACCACTGAAGAAAAGCAAGATCTACTCGCGCTTTCCGATGACTACTCACTGGCCCTTACCATCCCGGCCATTATCAAAGACGCACCAGGGTTGGCATCCGTCTTTCGAAGGAACTTCAATGCCAAGTGTCAGCTCCCGGGAAAGCCTTCAAACTCCAAGATGCATCACGTTACCTTTTCCACCTGGTAACAAAAGACACTGCCTGTGACCTACCGAGATGTATGGGAAGCCTTACTTCAATTGAGAGAGCACGTACTAGAGTCCGACGTGCAAAAGTTAGCCATGCCAAAGTTGGAGTGCCGCCAATTAGATTGGAGGGTTATTTGAAGTATGGTGGAGCAGATCTTTAAAGACACCGAAGTCCAGGTGTTAGTCTGTTGCAATCCGCATAGTTACTGGTGCGGAGAGAAAACCGTCCCTTGTCATTTTTATAAAACTGGAAGTTGTAAAAGAGGGTTCAGTTGCCGATACCAGCATACCGCTCCAGTTCCAGTCCCGACAAGGTTCCAGGAGGAACCATCTTTTAAGAGGGGGGCAATGTTACGATAAATATGACTTATACCTAAACTGTAAACATATTTTTCTAAATTATTTTTTTAGTAGGGTCCCCTCCGCTAAAACCTGTTTCATGGCGTTCGAGAACGTTCAGCAAGGGTCACCGGCAGAATTCTAGGGAACTCCAGAATAACGGTTATTAAATATATATAGAGGAATTGTTATCGAAAATTGTCAGTCTGAAAAGAATAATTGTATCAAGTCGAGTTTGAATTGTAACGCGGGAAATAAATGTTGTAAATAAAGTATATAAATTAGAATAGTGTCAGTTTTGTAAGATTATATATAAATTAAATAAAGACTCATAAATTAGATTTATAAAAATAGTTCAATATACCTTCAGGACCTTAATAAGACGGGTTTTGATATAATATGGCTGAAACGTGGACCTTATCTCAAAATGATGAAAGACTTCTTCGTAATTTTGACAGAAAACTTCTTAAAAAGATTTTTGGGGCCGTAAATGAAAATGGGCTATGGCGTCGAAGATACAACTTTGAACTATATCAGTTATACACCGATCCAGATATTGTGAAATCCTTTACAGTGCAGAGACTTAGATGGGCTGGACACATTGCTAGGATGTCAGATCACGAATACGCGAAGAAATTAACATTTTCAAAACCAGAGGGTACAAGAAGCAGAGGACTACCACGAAGGAGATGGATTGGTGATGTGGAAGAAGACCTACAGATTCTAAGGGTCAGAAGATTGAGGGAAGTTGACAGGAATCTACAAGAGTGACGACTTCTTTTTGAGCAAGGACAAGATCCACAACGGATTGTCGAGCCACATTATGATGATGAATGTCAGGACAAGGTTATTGATTGTTAATTTGTTATTTCATGGTGACACAATAAATTCATTGGTGGCATTAAGAGAAAAAACACGCTATGTATTATATATTGTATATTATTTAAGTGCTACGATAAAACACCTTATATGGAGGCTATTTAAATAGAGAAACATCCCTATTAATTCAATAAACACATGATGTACTGTAAAATATTATTTAAATACAAACCTCTGCGAATGTTCACCCCTCCTGTGTTCATACGGCGATCTAGATCGAGCTCTTCTCCTATTTAACACCGAACGCACGTCAGACTTGATGTTTTCTTTTCGGTCACGTCGCAGCTCCGCAGGATCCCTATCGATGGAGAAGACGATCTGCCGCGACCTGAAAAAGACCGTTTTGATGATAAACTTTTTTATCTTATGCCTCCGTATTGTGAATAACTGCCTGTGGTAATAAAACATGCTTTTCGAGTTTAAAATTTGACCGCGGAGTTGTTCTTTATTGCCGCTAATGAGTGTATGAAAAAATCGATCGTGTAGCCATAGGAACTTTTGTTGACTATGTGACTGTTTTATCTCTAATTGTCCGTAATGCCTTTATTGTACGTATGTCAAGGTTTTGTGTACTTTAATAAATGGATTGGATATTTATTATAATAATGTAATTATTATAGCGCAGTCAACACGCGAGATATTATATATTTATATACCAAAAAAGCGCGATTATTAGTACACAACGAAAAGGGATTTTGGTTCAAAAGTTACTTAAAATTATATTTTATTATTAACATTTACGAGGATTTTTTAATGACATCTTCGCGTGCCATATCAGAATTATTCGACGTTGGCGATCCACCATTGCAAAGGCTTCTCGATCTTCTGCATTTGATATCTGAGTCCATTCACGAATGTTTTTTAACCAAGAAACTTGTTTTCTTCCGACACCTCTACTTCTTCATTAGTTTTCCTTGCTGTCAAAGGTATCTTCAGCATTCGTCTATGAACCCATATTTCCAATACTTCAATGTTGTTCATGATCGATACGTTTAGCGTCCACATTTCTGCACTATACAAAACTACGGCCAACGAGGAATTTGAAATCAATAATCGATTACTGTATAGGCAAAGAAAATTCCACAATAAAGGTTAATAACGTTAGAGTCCATCGAGGAGCAAAATGTGGATCTGATCACCATTTGCTTAAAGCGTCACTACTATTTACCTTTAAAGGAAACCAACGACAAAAAGAAAACGAAAGTTCAATGATACTGCAAGACATTTCAACAAAGAGATATAATCTACAAGGTTTTGAAAATGAGTCTACCCAGTTTTTGTATCGAATGAGGTTAAATCTGAAATTGCACGATGTTTGTTACTCCTCACCAATTAATACGTACAACGAAATTATGAAAGCTCTTGACGAAGCTGTAATGAAAGCTATTGGAGAGGTGGATAGCATAAAAAATAGAAATGTATGGTGGAATAAAGAAATAGAAGATCTTGTGGGGAAGAAGAAGAATATGTATAACAAATGGCTAGCAACAAAGGACCCTTACTATCGACAACTGTGCAACAGCTTAAACAAAGAAGTAAAAAAAGAGGTAAGTAAAGCCAAAAATGAGATGTGGAATAAAGCCTGCGATAACGTAGAAAATTTTATGGGTACAACAAGAAGTAAAGAAGCCTGGAAAACATTTAGAGGTAGTAGAACAGATAGAAAAGAATGCAGTAGGTTAACTCTAATAGCCCCAGAATTATGGGTCGAATATTATGAACAAATGCTGACAGAAGATCGAACAGAATTCCAAGATATTGGCTACCAAAAATATGATATTTCCTACCGCGAAGAAACTGAAATAACACAAGAAGAAATTAAAAAACACGCCAACGCTATGAAAAATGTAAAGCCTCCAGGACCGGGGGGAGTACCCATTGAACTGATTAAATATGGCCCTGACAAACTATTTCGTTATTCGTTATTCGCTATATACATCGCTATTCTACGTTTTATTTCTATGTCTGGATCAGTTGGTCGGTTATCACAGTTCCCAAATATGTCATTTTGTAAAATTTCTCATCTTGGACTCCGTTTAATTGAAGCTTTGCATCGGGATGTGGTTCACGACTAAACACTAAAAATTTGGTTTTGTTTGAGTTTATTTTAATGCCCATTTCCTCTCCTACCTTGTGAGTACGATCAAGCAGAATTTGAAGACCTTCAATATTATCTGATAGAATTACTGTATCGTCTGCATATCTAATCACATTAAGTAGTTCCCCGTTGATTTTGATTCCATATGGTTGTCTCTCAAGTGCCTTTTTAAATAACTGGTCCGAGTAAACAAAGAACAATGTTGGCGATAAAATGCAACCCTGTCTGACTCCTCGTTATATAGAGATTTCATTGGTGTAGTTATCTCCAATTTTTACGATAGCAGTTCGATTCCAGTACAAATTTTTAATGACACGAATATCATCTACTCGTCGACATTATCAATGTCATATATTCCGATATTTTTCAGTATTTAAGTTAAGGTGTTCGTAGAAGAGTTCCCTAGTGGTGGTATCTCTGTTGTTCTCTGGTGCATACATTGCTATTACATTCAGAGCTTTGACATCCAGTTTAACTTTTACACTTACTATTCTTTCAGACGTATATTTACATTCTTGTACTTGGTGTAACAATTTTCTGTGTACTAACAAGGCGACTCCTCCTTTGGCTCTGGTTTCTTTCGCAAACTCACTGTAAATCATCAGATAGTCATATAACAAAAGAATTGAAGTAAAATTTCTATTATAAAAATGGTTTCTAACTTCGAAGCTTAAAAGCCAAATAAAAGTTTGTTTGTCAAATAAAAACAGTTGGATTCTTCTTTAAATTGCTCAAATATTGTTAAGCACTGAGTTTCTAGACTATGAAAGAGAGTTATGACAGTTTTTGGCACGTCCCATTTGATGATATCTGGCGCAATCGCGAAAGAAACATCATAAAGGAATAAATCCAGAATGTGGCCTATAAACCTGTAGAATAATGTATTATTACATTGCTAAGCAAGTCGATTCCACGTTTTTTCTGATATTTTGGTAGGAAATATAAAATTCTTCATGTAAAAGGTCATGTCCTTTTCTCTATCGATGTTTACAGCTTTTATTTCTTCTTCAGAATAAAATATATTTTTTTAAATATGGAAATAAACATTTAACTTAAGTATAATTACACTTTCTAAAGAAAACCACTTACCTATTCTTAAGTTTCCTGCCCAGATCATCTTCCACCAAGTCGATCACTTCGATGGGTTCTCTGTAGTTGTTTATGCTTAAAATGGTTCTTAAATCTTTGGGTTCCTTTTTCAATTTCTCAGTTTGATTTTTCAGCTTTTGGATGGCTTTCCTTATTTTTATCCTTTCTTCCTCTTCGTCTGCGTACATACGCATTCGCATCGACCTACCTATAATAGTAAAATTCTCTGAAGTAATCGAAATGAAGAAACATCCCAATTGTCATAATAGGCGAAGTTACAAATGAAACAAATAAAATATTGGCCTTACTAAACTTTAAATGTCACGGCATTCATTATGGCGACACTTCTACTGCCAACCTGTATAGAATAATGGATTCCATGGCCTCTTTAAATCACTGATTTTTTCAATAATATATATTTTTAATAGTATGAAAACAAGATATCCCTAATATATTATTATAAAAACAATCAAAAAGTTAATGCAGCCCCATTAATAAATTTTACCACCAAAAATTTCAGTTTTCATACATAACTTAAATAAAAGGTACTTTTACGTTGTTGTTTGACTTAACTGCAACATTTTATGACTTAATGAATAATATATTATCTTACCTTTTGGTTTCTTGACTGTGGTTTCTTCTTCAACTATCTCCACTTCATTTTCTGAATCTGTGCGAGGTTTCACTCCTAATCTTGTAGCTAGACTGGAATTCTTTATTTCTACAGTTTCTCCTATAAAAAAATAATATATTCCAATGGAATTAGCCTTATTGATTGTAATTAACTGATATATTATTCAAAAAATTTAGTAAACGGAGAAGAAAAGAAAATGAAAATGTAACTAAACAAAAGTGAAAATTAGGAAAGAAATTCAGTTTGTAAATATACAATGAGAAATCATTGTCAAATAAATTAGTTAGCCAGCATTACAGAAATAACTACAATGTGTCATCCTGATAACCCACTTCATAACCCACCAAATAGGACACTTTACAATAAAACGAATAGAGCCTATAAATGAGAGACTCAATAATTTGTTTAAATCTTTTTTTTATTTTTTGGGGCTCAAAGAGGCTTTTCCATTCTTAGTATTGCCTCAATTGTAAATAAATTCAATAATAAAGTCTCAACTGCAATGCAAATTGAAGTCAGTGCCAGTAAAATGACACAAATTTTTCAAAGATCTGTGGAATTACTCGGCTTATTATGAATATTACCTTAGTGATGGTGACACTAAAACTTGTAAACAATGGCAAGATGGTGAGCTCTTTGGAAACACTGTTATGTTGGGATAAAAGATTGTGTTCTGATCCCTTGTGTCTACCACGGCCGTGCAGTGTATGGAAGCATTGCTTCCATAGGTTTCCATAGTAATAACTAGGTAGCTTACTAGCTGAGTAACTGAGAATATTTAACAAAAAATAATTTAAACCAACACCAACCTACATTTACCTAGGCTTTAGAAACGGCACGGGAACCAGGGAAGCATTGTTCAGTATAAATGTGCTCATGCAAAGAAATCTGGATATGAACCAAGACATGTATACATGTTTTATTGATTTTGAAAAAGCATTTGACAAGGTACAGCACAATAAACTAATTAATATTTTAAAAATGAAAAACATCGATAGCCGCGACATCAGAGTAATCTCGAACCTCTACTGGAACCAGAAAGTCAAAATAAGAATTGAAAATCAAATGTCGGAAGAAATAGAAATTCTTCGGGGTGTGAGACAGGGCTGTGTATTGTCACCACTGCTGTTTAATATATATAGCGAAGCCATTTTCCAAGAAGCGTTAGGAGAGTGTAACGATGGAATGATAATAAATGGTGAAATTATTAATAATATAAGACATGCCGATGATACTGTCATATTCACTTCAACTCTGCAAAGTCTAACAAACATACTGGAACGGCTGAATGAAAAGTGTACCATATATGGTATTAAAATGAACTTAAAGAAAACAAAATTCATGGTCATTACAAAACATCCAAAAGACAACGAGACACTCCATATTAATAATATCCAGATAGAAAGGGTAGATAAATACAAATATCTAGGAACATTGGTTAGTCAAAACGCAGAACAAACGCAAGAGATTAAAAGCCGTATAGAAATAGCAAGGGCAAAATTTGTAAAAATGAAACATCTATTGTGTAGTAGAGACCTAAGAATGGATCTAAGGATAAGGTTATTGCGCTGCTACATTTTTACAACTTTGCTCTACGGATCTGAGGCATGGACATTGAAACAACTGGAGATTAAGAAATTGGAAGCTTTTGAGCGTTGGTGTTATCGAAGGATGCTACGAATAGCATGGGTAGGCAAAATTACCAATATTGAAGTCCTTGATAGGGTTAATAAGAGGGAAGAAATTGTACAGACAATTAAGAGGCGGAAACTTAAATATTTCGGTCATATATTAAGAGGTCCTCGTTATGGGCTACTACGTTTGATTATAGAGGGCAAAATAAAAGGTAAAAGAGATGTAGGAAGAAGACGAACCTCCTGGGTACGAAATCTAAGGGAATGGTAAAAATGGTAGAAGAATTGAACTACATTATAAATAGGTAAATAATACAACTTCCTACAACTTATAATGGAAGGGAAAGTGGAAGTAAGAAGAGGTCCAGGAAGAAGAAAATGCTCCGGGTTGAAGAACAAAGTTACACCTTAACAACAATAAATTATTAAAATAACAAACCCCTCAGAATAATACAAACATATAAGAATAATACATATGTACAACTAACTTATTGTAAGATATTTTTTAGTTGTTTTTTAAACAAACTAATTTTGGAGTTAAAAATATCTATTTGTCTTGGCAAGCTATTAGCACTCTGGACCAATCGTGTAGTTGGTTCATTGATACCATAATTAGTGTGGTGAAATGGCACCGAAAAGATTTTTGACTGTATGTTGCTTCTACTAGGAACTTTAAGACTAACAAGCGATAAGAGTTGAGGACAATCTATAAAAGCATTGATAACTGGCCCTTAAATATTTATATTGCCATAATATGTAAAAAGACAAGAAGTAAAAAATATACTTTCGTATGTAACAACAGCTCTTTAAAACCAGACTGCCCCTTAAGCTCATTTATTAAGTTACATTACATAATCATTCACACAGATAAATTCTGGCTATACAATGAAAAATTTAGTAACAATCTTAAAAAAACTATAAATATCGTACCTGATGTGGGTGTAGTTTCCCTAAATTTGGCATCTTTATCCCAATTCCTGGCCAAATTCCCCCATGGATTCTTACCCCTTGGCAGATCTTTATTTCTGTCAAAGATACTCCCACGCTCGCGTTTTGTATCTGACAGATTTTTAGTAGTGCCCATCCTTTTGTAGTATTTGGCTAGGTATTCAATCTTGTACGGTTTTTTGTCAGTCTTCAATGCATATCTCAACAACAAGCATTTGGCTTTTGGATGTTTGTCACCCAGTCTCCAGTAACCAGGTGGAATAGGTATTGTTATTTCTTAAAAAAATGTTTATTTAGCTATGCTTACCTCTAATCAATGTTAAATACTCACCTGTAATATCAACTGCATTTTTAAACTTATCCTTAGCAGTATTTGGCACAATAATGCCATCTACCGAGAGTTCCACTTGTCTATTTTTAAGCAAAATACTCTGACCATGCTCCTCTTCAGGTTCTTCTCCATCTAGAAAGTCTTTAACCAACACTTGCTCCCTAACAGGCATTCCCTTTACTGCTTTAGATGTATAAAACATAGCCCTAGCTGCAGTTATATTTTCGATCCATTTTATGTTACAACTTTGTTCATCAACACACTCTATTTCGGTTGGTGCATATTTGGCAAAGTAGTCCAATATGTCTTCTATTAACATATCTTTCGTACCCAACAAATGCACTGTATCGAACCTGATTAAGTTTTCATTATCATCTGTAATTCCCAAACTATCTCTGAGCTCTTCATGATCAGCATCTGTAAAACAGTGAATTTCTTCTGGTTTTAATGCAAATCTCTTAGCTCTTTCTAGTCGCTTTCTATGTTCTTCTTCATCGAAAATATTTATACCTGTAGTAAATACTGATGCAGGGAGACTTTGTTGTACCTAAAAAAAAGTACATACATATTATATCTATACACTTACCATTATGTTGACAAATAATCAGACAATTTAATAATTTTCTAAACAGTGACACAACAAATATACATTAAATATTCTAACAATTCTTCAAACCACTCCTACAAGTAGAGAAGTACTTACTTGTATTTCTTGTGGTTCGTCATCAACAATTTCTCCGTCCTCATTCTCAGATTCATCAACTTCCATTTGTTGATTCGGGATTTCAATTCTAATATTTGGACGCTCATTTTCGGTTTCCATCTCGTATCATTCAACAATCAGCAAACATTCAGCAAAGAGCTAATTTTTGATGTAAACTATATACACATAACCTACAAAAAGCTCATAAAGCTGACGTTTGACAAAATCGCTTCTAAAGCTGTGTATAGAGATGGGAAGTACAGTAAGTACAGATACAGATAGGGAACAAAACTATTAGAACATGTCCATGATTAGAACAGTTTAGGTTTCAAAAAACTTATGATATTGGGATTACAGTGCTAAAAAAATAAAAGTCATGAATATTTAATTATCTTTCTATTTACCTTTTTCTATGCGAAGTCGACTTCCCTGATTGCATTTCTCTCTGATTCTATTTTGGGTATTAAAATCGCTTTTTAGAAATGAAGAAGTCTTCATTATTGACCTCAATTTTTCACATTTTTGTATTAACTGTAGCAGTTTGTTAATTCTAAAGTACTGATTAGAAATATGAAATACAAGCACCAAACAACAGTTTGAATACAATATCATATAGAAAAAACTGAATGTATCATTTTTACATTTTTACAATTTTTACATTTTTTTATATTTTATCTATAATATAAAAATTAATCGCAAAATGTGTTGGTAAACGCATAACTCAACAACGCATGGACCAATCTTAACAATCCTTTTTTTAAATTGTTTCTTGAAGTCTAAGGATTGTTTTTACGGCGAGAAAAATTCGAATATCTTCCGGGAAAACCCTAAAACAGCCGTTTTCTTTTTTCCATACAAATATTTTATAACTAAATAGAGTCAATTTGAACTTTATTGCTATTCAATAAAGTTTATATTTAATAAAACTGTATGATCTCAACACTTTGAAAGAATTAATTCAAACAAATCTTCCACTATTGACTGAACAACAGAAGTATGTATTTGATACACTTATGAGAGTAACAAATGATAAAACAGGAGGAAGGGAAGGAGGAGTACAGGAAAAACTTTTTTAATTTCATTGATACTAGCAACAATTCGCTCACAAAATAAAATTGCACTTGCACTCGCTTCGTCGGGAATCGCAGCAACTTTGCTTGAAGGTGGTCGAACAACTCGAACAGCCCATTTAACACTAAAATTGCCATTAAACATGCAAAGCAATTCGAAGAACTCTGCAATGGCAAAGGTTTTGCAGGAATGTGAATTGATTGTTTGAGATGAATGCACGATGGCTCATAAAAAATCTTTGGAGGCTTTAGATAGAACCTTACAAGATCTATGGGCAATCATAACCCATTTGGTGGTGCAATGATTTTATTAGCAGGATTGTATATATTAGATTATTTTTCAATCAGGTTTGAACCGTAAATTACCCTCTTAGTTTGAAGCCCTCTGGCACATTTTTAGTGGGTCCAAGAGGCTGGCCAAAGTTTGTCGAGGTGAAGATACTTAGGTCACCCGAGCTGACCCTCACATACTGCCCTATCGTCATGGTGACAGTTCTGTTCAGGAGAATTAAAGGAATATACTGCCACATTCCAAATATATTTGACAGAATGAAGTCTGCTTGGTCCACTAGTTTATTTTAAATATAAAAAAAACTAAAGGATAAAATTTTTATTAAATTTTCATATAAAATAACATGTGTCATTCAATGTGTAAGAAAAAGTGCAATATTATAACTTATTATTATACAGCATATCACACTGAAATAACAAAACAATCAACAACATAGCATATCACATAGATTCACTCTCTATGTTAATATTAGCTGTTGGATCAGGTCCCAAATATGGCGCAGTATCAGTCCAATACCAAGGAGGGTTTCTTGTCTCTTGTAGTCGAAAAATGTTTGGCAAGATGCTGGTAACAATACTGTAATAGGAACAATACCTGGGGCCCACGCCAGGTATAAGAGTGTTGTACGGAGGCGCCAAGATGTCTATAAAAGCAGCTGGACCATCCACGCTGTAGATTTCATGAATGTTTCTTTTGTTTGGATCTAATATACAAGGTTTACTGTCCACTCCAACAATATCATTACTAACCAATTCTGCTGTTACAAAACGTTTCCTTTTACCTTTATCCGGACTTAACATAATATTTGAGCCAGAACCTGTTTGATTGTCTTTGTAACTTCTGGTATCAACTTCTACAGTGGTTGGTGTATTTATAGAGTAACTTATCACCCTTATTTTCCCAGCTAAAACTTTTATAAGCCCGTACATCTCCGGGTGATTGTGTAGAGGGAGCTTTTTATCTTTTTGTAGAACAAAAATGCCCATTGTTAAAGATGAATCCTCGTAGACGTCAATGTAGGTAACAGGAGCTTCCTCTTCAGATTTAGTGGCTGCAGTTATATCAAAATTTACGTCTTCTGCTGTTGTTTTATCTAATATTGATGCCAAGCTATCAAGATTTGCTATAAAGTGAACAGGTGTACTATTTGTGAACGTTAGAAGTGCTTGTTTTAACACCTTTTGTATTTGACTAGCCATGTTTGTTTCACTGGTTATATATTTCTCAAATGGTTTTCTACGACAATAACTCTTTTAGTTCCTTTATATTATAACTATTCTGACAGGTAGTTAATTCATAAAACATTTGTATATTGTTTTTACCTAATAATTCTCATTAATTTACAAGTTCGAACTCCCCACCCCCTAGCGTAATCAAAACACAAATCAACAAATGACATTAATGACGGATGCAAATAAAAGAGGAATACATTTAGATTTTAGCAGCCACATAAAATAATTTTCACATTAATGTTATAAATACAAGTTATTTAAAATTTACAAATTCTCACGTTCCTGACAAGAAATCAATTAATCGTTTTATAAAGCCATGACTGTCTTTTGCTACTGTATATCTCACTAGACTAGGCCATTATCCTAGAAGAACTTTCTGTCATCTCCACAGTATATACCAGATATAGTTGTGTAAATGAAATAGGACAACTGAGGAGAGTGAATTGCATGGGTCCAGCCGTTCATAATGGCGACACTACAGTAAAATTCACTAGGTACATTTGCTGTGATTGGTGCCTTAATTTAAAATTTGGCGGGTTTAACATTTATTGAATTGGGTAGAAAGAGGAAAATATTCGTATTTTAGGATTAAGCAGACTTATTACAGTTTTATTTGAAATGTCTTTAATTTTCCTACACTGAAACTAACAAGGTACATTTGCTGTGATTGATCAGTAGGTGTATTATATTAATTTAAAATTTGGCAGATTTCACGTTTATTATAGTAAAATGAAACTTGGGTATTACTTCTACATATTTTAGGAGTAAGCTGACTATATGATATCCTATTGCTGTTTTTTTTAATATGTAGGTGTAGGTAGGTATATGTAGGCATATGCCATCTCAAGTTTAATACAAATTATGTAGTCTTTCCTTCACTTTAAATTTTTCCATTAGATGTTTTATAATAAAAATTGCTATTGTCAACTTACCTTATATATATCCAAATTGACCTTTATTTCTAGAAAGTTGAACTAAATTGTGTTAGATTTCACCATGAGGTGAAAAATTTTCTGAACAAGCAAATGTTTACTGGATAACTATTGCAAATCAAATAAAACACTAAATAGCTATGTTTAAAATTTATTCTTTGAGGGGGGCCTCGCCTAGGCTTAAGCATGCATGCATATTTTTTTTATGAAATTTTACTATCATTAATCAAGTAAACATATAATGTTACATTAACTAACTTTCTTGTAAATAAAAATACATGAGCTACAAGAATTGTTCAAATTTAATTTTTAATCAGCTTCTTTTTTTATTGGAAGGAAAATATGGTTGCTTTTCCATTTTTCGCTTCTTTGTAATATCCTTAGTGGCTTCCTGAAATTTTTCCTTCGATTTACGCAATGCTTCTTCAACCACTCTTATAACTTTGTCTTGTGCTTGTGTATAACTTTCATCATCTAAGTCAACTAAGCTGTCCATGACATTTTTTAAGTGTTGTAAGTCTTGAAGACGTTGTTGGATGGTGTTTTCTTGGATCACATTTCTGTGTTCCAGCTTATTTCCGATAAATTCAATTATTTCCTCCTCATGACTTGATTTGATAATTGAATTTTCTCCCAAACACCTTGCATCATCATCTGTAATGCATGTAAAAAAGCCATAAAATATTCATTCAAAAATTATTAGGCATGGAGGAAAAACAAGGAAGTGAATGGTTTAAAGAAAAATAACCGAAAGAAAAAAACAGAGCATATAAAGCAGCAGTGACACATTACCAGGTAAGTAAAAGCAAAAAAAACAGCTATGAAAGGAAGAGAAACAAGTTCATAAAAAAGGAGGGAAGTATAGATAGACAACAACTTCAAGAGTTACAAAATCTAAGTAAAAGAGCGGTGGCAAAAAAGTCCTACATGAAAATAAGCAAATGAAGAACAGAATTTAAACCTAGGGCCATGATGTACTGAGATCACAAGCATTACATTGACAAAACAACACGAAATAAAAATATGGACAGAACATTATAAGGAAAACATTGAAGAAAGCAGAGATGTGAACCATATCAATAACATTTGACCAATTAGAAACAGAGTAAAAATCTACTAAAAAAAAAACAAACAAAGTATAACAAGAACAAAATTTAAGAATCCCAATATACATATATACAGCAAGAGATCTTTTTAATTGAGTTAAAGTTATATTGAAAATATCAAAATCACGATCATTTAATAGTATCTATCCAATGGGTTGTGAATACCATAGCTTCTTCTGTGGAAAGGAATATTGAAAACATTGTGGTACCATAGAGCTTGATGTGGAACATTAAAGTTAATCTGGCTTAACAGGTTTGGACAATCAATAAATCCATGTATGATCTTATATATAAATATAGCTCCTGACATAGCACGATGGTTCTTGAGTAAGGGTAAAGATAATTCAATATAAGGTTGAATGTTCGAATAAATGAACTTTGATGGTACACAAGGCAAATATCGAACACAGTAGTTAATCAAATCTTGCCCAAGTACTTTCGATCACAAGATCATCCTCAGGGGCATTTCGTCAGTTGTGGCATATCCAGCAGTAATAGAATGTTATAAATGTAAATAGGGACATAACAAATACACTAAACAAAGACAAACAAACACTTTAAAATTTAAGAAATGGAGAAGCTACATTTTATTCTGTCTCCGGCCTCTATATAAAATGTAGCTTCTCCATTTCTTAAATTTTAAAGTGTTTGTTTGTCTTTGTTTAGTGTATTTGTTATGTCCCAATTTACATTTATAACATTCTATTACTGCTGGATATGCCACAACTGACGAAATGCCTCTGAGGATGATCTTGTGATCGAAAGTACTTGGGCAAGATTTGATTAACTACTGTGTTCGATATTTGCCTTGTGTACCATCAAAGTAAAGATAATTGTTGTTCGATATGGAAATAATCATGATTTTCAATAGTAGTGTGGATGTGGTAAGCACAATATCTCAAAAATTTATGCTGTACTCTTTCTATGGTATCAATATTGTTGGAAAATAGGGTGACCAAATAACTGAACAGTATTCCAAAATTGTTCTAACTAAGCAACAATACACCAATCTTGTTGAATTAATGGAGAAATACTTGCAATTCCTAGTAACGAAACCAAGAAGTTTAGATGCCTTTATTGAAATAGAGTTTATGTGGTCACATAAAGTAAGCTTCTTTTTGAAAATAACATACAAATCCGGAATAGAAGAAGCATAATTCAGTGGCTGATTATTAATAGTACAACTTGTTCCAATTATATTGACTTTATGAGAAAAACTTATAAAACAACATTTTATTACATTTAAGTGGAGTTTGTTCTGATTGCACCAATTTTGTAGTCTAAGTCATCTTGTAGCAAGGCTTGATCTTTTAAACTGTCTATAACTTTCCAAAATTTAAAGTCATCCGCAACATTAGACATTTGCTATTTAGGAAACAAGGAAGTGATGTCGTTAAAGAAGATATTAAAAAGAAGTTGAGAAGTGTGGCCTCCTTGAGGAACTCCATATTTTACTGTGATACTGTCAGATAGATAACAACCTATCTTGACTCTTTGACTTTTCGCAGATGTAGAGTTTTTAATCCATTCAACAAATCTGACATCAAAGGCTACATTAATTAATTTGCCCAAAAGTATTTGATGAATATATCAGATTGATAGCAAACCAAATTTTTTGCAGTGGATTTTTTGCTATGAAAACCATGTTGAGATTGAGATATTAAGCCTTTACATAACCAAGAAATTTGCTTTGCTATAAGACTGTCGAAGAGCTTAGGGATTGCAGATTGTATACAAATGCTACGATAATTTTCAATATTGTCTTTCTGACCATTTTTAAATATAGGAACAACATAACTTTCTTTCCATGAAAAAGGAAACAGAGATTTCCAGAGATATATTAAACAATATAACAAATGGTATTACAAGGGTACCGACACACTTTTTTAATAAAAAATTGAACAGCAATAGATAAAGTAAAACCTAATAAAGCAGCATCATCAGACTATAAATAAACAGACTTATAAATATCATTTGATGATACTGAAAACAAACCACATATTATTGAAAAACTAACAATTATCTGATAAATGGAATACTGCACCATTACAAAAAGGAGAGACTAGTTGAAATACAGAAACTATCACAGAATTATGACAACATCAACATAATTTATGAGATCATATGCAGAAAGTTTTAAGCAAGTACAAATGTGATTTCTGACGGCAAAAATCAATAATAGATCAGATATTTTTTTCTACAGTAAATTCTCAATACCTTTAAATACAATATCAACAAACACAATTTTATCATAGATGTTAAAAGTGAATATGATATCATAAATGGAGGGTATCTAATCCAAGCAATGACTCAAGGAAAAAATCTTGAACCACACATATAAGTGAGTAAAAGAAAATTGTATACCAGGATCTGGATATCATAACATTCATACAAATAGGACAGCTTCAGTAGAAGGGACGTGTAGAAAGGATGGAAGATGAAATATCTTCAAAAATAAATATCAGCTGGACATAAAACAAGAGGAAGACTGAAATGTATATATAAGGAACAAATAAAACATTACATAGCACTTTTAAAAATCAAAAATTTGACGAACATACTATAAAATACAGAACAGAATTGGGAAGTATTCTTAAACAGACCAAGAACCAAAAAAGTTGTATTAATGATGATGATAAAAAGAAAGTAACTTAAAACACTATGGTTAGTTAAGGGGTGAAAGTTGTTGATTTTGACAAGTGAGATTTATTACATGAGGGAGACAAAGGTAACAAAGCAGTAAATTTGACCCATAAACTATCACCACCTCCACAATAAAATGAGCTATGTAAAAGGCCAGTAACTACAAACTTACCAGTTATATTATTTAAAAATGTTTATTGGTTGTATAAAAAGGATTGTTACATGAGCAGCAATAAACGTCCATACCAGAAGAGGGACAAATGCAGATTCTGATCATTACCTGGTCGAAAGTAGGGTACAGGCTAACACATGAAAACCTAAATAAAGAGTGGGAAGAATGCAGAGACATCATAAAAGAGGCAGCTAAAGAAGTATTACGCATAGAAGGCAGAGAAAGAAGAACAAGAACGAATGACGTTTGATGAAGAATGTCAAATTATAACAGACAGAAAAAACAGAGCATATTTACTGATGCAACAGGGGCACAGAAGACAACAAGCAGAGGAAGAATATAAACAACTACGCAAAGAAGAAAAGAGAACTCACTGAAAAAAAAGAAAGATTATATGAACAAAGAACTACAAGAACTAAGTAAATCAACAGAGACAAGAAAATTTTATCAGAAACTGAACAAAAGCAGAAAAGACTTCAAACCGAGGACAAAGATGTGTAAAGATAAGGAAGGTAATATATTGACAGAACATCAAGAGATACTAAGTAGATGGACAGAAAATTTTACGGAAACACTTAAAGGAGATCAGAGAGACACGAACCCTGATATACCATTAGACCAAGCAGACTACAGAGAAAAGACTCCACCAACAATAGCCGAGATCAGAACAGCAGTAGACAAATTAAAAAACAATAAAGCACTGGGATCGGATCAAATAGCATCGGAGTTACTGAAGGAAGGAGGAGACACACTACAAAAACAATACATGAATTGATAACAAAGATATGGTCAAATAAACTGCTACCAGCGGATATTATACTGGATATTATAACATTCATGAAAACAGGACAGCTGTGTTGGATAGGACATGTAGAAAGAATAAAAGAAGGCGAAATACCAAATAAAATATTTAAACAGATGCCAGTAGGAAAAAGAACAAGAGGAAGACTGAAGCTGAGATACTTAGAACAAATAGAAAATGATATAAAAACCTTAAAAACAAAAAACTGGAGGAAAAAAGCACTAAACAGATCAGAATGGAGATCCTGGAACAGGCCAAGATCCAAAAAGGGTTGCCGAGCCAGTGATAATAATAACATGAACAGCCATACAAGATTAATTATTATAAATGTGATAGGTATTAAAATTTTTTTGGTGTTTACCTTCTTTCTTCAATAAGAAAGCATAATTCTTGTTGTTAGCATTACATTCCTTTAAGGCTGTTGCTACCTGATCATTTTGATCCTGTTTTTTGTGTATATTATACTTTCTGCACAAATTTGTGATATCTTGACTTGTTAATAGGGCAAGTCTTCCTAGTTTTGGTGTTTCCAATTTTCTTGAATCATCTAAAATTCTACTGGGTGACACCCCAGACATTAACTTCTCTACAATCCATTTTTCTTGTTCTTTTGAGAGACGCATGGTTCTTAATTCTTCTTTATGTCCCGCATGTGTTCTACAACAACTGACAGAAACTTGTCCTTGATCTCTTAGTCTACATACCAGCCTGGAAGGGCACACTCCTTTAATTTTAATTGATCCACCAGATTTCTCTGTCTTAATTTTATAGTTGGGCTTATATCCTAAAAATAGACAAGTATAAGCTTTAATTATTACAAGTAACAAAGTATTGCATCTACCGTTGATATTACTTCTGTTACACTCATAGTATAATATCTTATAATCATTTCCCTTAGTCACTCTACTCTTTGTATATCTTGTCTCAATTTTCTGCATATCTTTCCATGTCTCATATTCTTGTTTACTAGAAAATTCAAAAGTTATTAGTTCAATACTCACCTTGTGGTGGTCCTTGAGATGTTTTCGTAACTTCTCATGACTTTCACAATTAGTTTCTTGCTCACATAACGGACAAACTATATGATTAATTTTCTTCTTGCATACATCTATTTTATGCATTCTTTTGATATGACGATTTCGTAATTTTACATTTTTAAACGTTTTGCTGCAAAGGTGGCAGGCCCCTGAGGAAATTTCAGAGCTTATTGAAGTAGATGAAGTACAGGAATCCATAATTTCTTGCTAAAATAAAGACTCGGATAATTAAATATGGTGTTCTAACGAACAGGTTCTTCAAACAATTGAAATGAAAAAGTTTTAAATTGAAATTATTTATGTTAAGCTTGGAGTTGGAATAAAACCGGCGCCAAACAGAAAAAGATTTTAAAATACAGAGATTACACATAACCTCACAAATCATATGTCGATAACGACCAATCACAGCAAATGTACCTAGTGAATTTTACTGTAGTCTATATACTATATTTTTTAGAGAGAGAATTAACATTTTTAGCATAGAATAAGTTTTTATTTCTTATTTTATGGCTATATTTATTTTCCATTAAAATACTTTTTGAATTTTGCTGCCAAAAATTCAGAGGTTATTTTTTGAATTTGTCGCCAAATAAAATTAGTTTCGGCCCGTCCGCATTTGGCGCTAGAAACTCTCCCAAATTTTTCTATTGGACTTACTTTACTAGAGGGCTATGTACTGTGGTCATCTCAAGAGCTGTGAAGTTGTTTCATTTTCGTTTCATTTCATCATTTGTTGTAATTCTTGTAAAGCGCATTCTAAAAAATCTGTTTTAAAACCATGGCTGATGAAGAATTCGACGAAAATGATGTAGCAGACGATTTCGATGACGACGTAGAGGATGATAACATCGAGGAACTCGAACAACCCGAGGAAGATGGAGATAACATTGATATCCTTGCTCCAGGCCAAGCTGGTGGTGGTGTACCAAAAAACAAGAGAATAACAACTAAGTATATGACCAAATATGAGAGAGCCAGAGTATTAGGTACGTGCATCAATTAGTGATTTTCGCTTTCTTGTTATTCTGTACAGAATTGTAATGTACTGTAAATTTATTCCAGGTACTAGAGCCTTGCAAATAGCTATGTGTGCTCCTGTTATGGTTGAATTAGATGGTGAAACTGATCCATTGCAAATTGCTATGAAAGAATTAAAACAGAGAAAGATTCCTATTATTATTAGAAGATATTTACCTGACCATTCCTATGAAGATTGGGGAATAGATGAGCTGATTATCATAGATCACTAGATTGTAGAATTTTTATGTGAATATATTTAATAAATAGGTTTTTATATTACAGATATCTTTTCAATAATAGTTTAAAGTGTATTCTGCAGTATTTTCTAGCAATAATATAGTATGTGCATAGATGAGGAGTTGGAAAAGCATCATTTATAGGAAAATAGGGTGAATAACTAACAGTATTTCAAAATATTTCAACCCACACAACAATTCACTAATTTTGTTGAGCTATGGAGAAATACTTACAATTCCTAGTAACCAAACCAAGAAGTTTAGCTGCATTTATTGAAATAGAGTTTTAGAGAAAAATGACCAAAATGCTGAATAGAAGAAACATAATTCAGTAGCTTATTATTAATAGCATAGCTTATGTCAATTCTATTACCTTTATGAGAAAAACAACATTTTTTACATTTAAGTGGAGTTTGTTCTGATTGCACCAATTTTATAGTCTGTCTAAGTCATCTTGCAATAACGCTTGATCTTTTAAGCTATCTACAACTTTCCAAAACTTCAAGTCATCCACCAACATTAGACATTTGCTGTTTAGGAAACAGGAAGTGATATTGTTAATAAAGATATTAAAAAGAAGTGTGGTTTCCTTGAGGAACTCCAGATATTATGGAGATACTGTCAGACATATGACAACCTATCTTGACTCTGACTAGAGGTGTGCTTATTAGTTCTTTTGTACGAACTAGTTCAAGAGAACTAGTTTAGTGATCTCGTTTGCGAAAGAACTATTCACTGGTTGCCAGATGTCTCGTCTTTTCTTCAGTTTTCAGTTGGTCTTTCATTACAGTATGGAGTACAAGTAGTTTGGATTCGTAACCATTTCTTTCGATCATATGTTTAGGTTTCAATGTTTTAAATTATTATATGATTTCTTAGTTGTTCTTTATAATAATTTATTTTCTTAATCAATCCCTACAGATGAATAACAGACAAAATAGAAGTTTTTTATGGGATAATTTCGAGAAAAATGATAAAAATCAAAAATCTGCAAAATGTAATTACTGTTCATGTGATGTTAGTATTGCAAGTGGTTCATTGGGAAATTTATCAAGACATTTAAAAATGAAACACCCTGCCAGCAATCTCAAATATCATAATGTTGAAAGATACATAGAAAAAGGACACGAAAAATCAGAAAATACATTTAAAAGGTGGAACCTTTGATCTAGGTGATTAAACACTTTCTTACCAGTGTAAATAAATGATTTTTTAATTAATACAAAAGAGGGAATTGGAATAACATACTTTAGTGTCCGAATATCTTCTTTGTTTTTTTAAAATTAAGCACGCTAATTCAAGGATATACATGCAAGGAAGTGTCAAAATACCATGTTTTTGGAACAGAGGCCTGCATGATGTATCAAACATGACCTTGCATAAATATCTGAGTGCTCATCGTATCTCAAATTAGATTCAATCAGGGCCACATAAACACTTTTTGCAATCTTGAAATCTAAATGATGAGCAACTGATTTGACCGCAAGGCAACCCAATGATATCTTTTTGCTTAAAAACATACAGTGTGTTGCTCAAATTTAAGTTTATTATCAATATAGAGACCTAAAAATTTGTTTACAGTATCAGAACAAATGCCTTCATTGCCAGAATAATGTTGTTTAGATCATTCTTAAAAGAAATTAATTTGGTTTTTGAAAAATTAAGTATCAAATGATTAGCTTTGCACCACTCTAAGATTTTTAGCATATCACTACTAATAATCTTGTTCAGTACCTTAGAGTCCTTATTTTGCCAGAAAATTGTGGTGTCATCTACAAATATAGTAAACTGGCCATTAATGTCGAGGTTAGTTATGCTGTAAAATACTAATAAACTTCTAATTCCTTTAGTAAACCATGTTTTCTTACTTTTCGATTTAAGAATTCTTTTTTGAAATGCTAAATTGAATATTTTAAGAGTATAATGAAATTGATGAAGCAAATCTGGAGAGCAAAAACTATTATTCCAATCTTCCTGATTACATAATTTGATAAACCTGTCAAAATTACTTTTGCTGAAAATCCTACCCCATCTGGCTGTATAAGGTGGTTTCTTAAAGGGAAATTCACATAAAATGGATCATGATTTGATGAAAAATAGGGAATCACTCTGCACAGTCAGATCTGGATGTAGATTAGTACAAATATTATCCAATATGCTGTTATCTCTGTTTGGATTGGTAATCAGCATTCTCATATTAAAGCTATTAAGTAAATTTGTAATGGTAATAACATGGCTGTGTGATGAATCCAGATAATCAATATTAAAGTCGCCTGTCAATAAAAGCATTTTGTCAAATTGGCTTGTAAAAACTTCTATGGAAAAGCAAACAATGTGATGAAGGGGTAAAAATAATTGTGGGTAGCAAACTTAAAAAATATTTTATTAAATAACAATGTGGTCAATGTTTCCTTTTCTTTTTCCTGTCTATTTCATTTAACTCACTCTGTTGTTGTGCTGCATCCGAATAAATCCTTTTAACTTTATCTCTCCTTTCCATATCACTGAAAAAACATTAAAATGTAAGTTGTAAAAATCAAGGATTTCACACGAAGAAAAATATTTCTCCAATGAATATTACAAACCTCTGTATTTGTCTATTGACTTTAACTCTTCCCAAAAATGCAGTGTCCCTTCTAATTTCTCTAAGGGCACCTTTCTTCTCCCGTTTTACTTTGTGCATCAATTTATTAAACTGGGCTTTTTCCTTTGACTGGTTTTTATGTTGTTTTCCATCATACCTACAAAAAAATTGTATATAAAAATGATGCATTGAATCATCTAGACCAAAATACTTACACTGGTTGTATTCTGGGTTCATACAGCCTCAATGCTTTGGGCCTTGAAATTTCCATCACCAGATATTCCAAATTTCTTTCTTCCTTTGACCTTTTCAGGGAATCTACCAGCTGCTTTAGACTATTTTGTACAATTGTAGGATAGCTGGAAAAAGGTATCAACTCCAGATACTGCAAAACCTTTTCAAATATCTCCACATGACTGGAAAGTAGCTTATAATGATCCAAGAATTGTTCTAAAAGCTTTCCAATGTTATATAGAGCTCTGACTTGATATTCTGCTGTTATCTCTTGTTCACAAAAGTCTGTTGCATCTAGTTTCATACATGGCAACTGTTCTAAACTGAAATTTTCTATCAAGACTAAATGTGTAGCAGTTGATTTGAAAGGTGGTGGAATTTTCAGCAACCTTACACCTGCTTTTGGCACTGCCATGTGCAAAAGACCAGAAAGGAAGTTGATCACAGCTGGGAGGTACCTCTTTGATAAGGCAGAGTACTGAAAGAAGTAAGCCATAGTTAAAAATATGTTCAGTACATAACACAATTAACAATTTATAACATTATGATTTAAATCAAAACTATTTCACTGTAGGTTTCTGTGTTTTGGATTTGAAATTAATGTATTGAAAAAAAAAAACACTAATATTAATCGCATTACCTCTAATACTAAGGATGAAAGAAATAAACCATACGCAATGTCCTTTCTTTGCTTGACTCTGCATTTTGTCAACATCTGTTCCATAAATATATAACAAGGAGTAACTATTTGATGTCTAAAATCAGAAGTAGGAAATAATACACTGACTAGCTTGAGAAAAACTAAAACTTCTATACCAGGAAACACTTTGGGCCTCTTCTTGAATTCCTCAAACTTTTCTTTGATCACTTCTAGAACAGACGTATGAGAACTTTCTGGAATCAGTTTAACAAGATCATATATTTCAGGAACGAGACGTTTAAAGATATTAAAATTGTTTTTCATAGTTTTGGAGTCCTTGTTTTCTGAAAATAAGTCGTTAATGTATTGAAGGATGTAAGCAAATAAAAGGCCTAAACTTTCTTTGTTTTTATCTGACATACTAGGATGGTTACATTTCACCATTCGCTGTATGATGATTTCTTCATGACCAACATATTGTTCTAAAGTTTCAAGTAAACTTTCATAAGCGTTTGGTAGTTTAAATGTGAAAGGAATGTTGGGTGTGTCTTCATCTAAAGATTTATTAGCTTTTTTGTTAGATCTTTCTAAATTTACAGTATTCTTCACATCATTTACTGCAGTACCTGATAATTTTACACTGTCCTCTTCAAAACATTTTTGACTTATTGCACTATCCCTCACATTTTCATCAACATTCTCTTCTACATCATCCTCTTCTTGATCATTATCTTCATTCTGTACATTATTATCTATTTTATCTTCTTCAGCTTCACTTTCACTATCATCTTCCTTCAAATCTGAGAGATTATCTTCTGAATCAGTTTCCAATTCTTCATTTGAACCCTCATCCTCTTCATCTTGGTCTTCTTCAACTTCTGAATTGCCTTCTTCCTGGTTTTTAGTGGCTTTTAGTATAGTTCCATTTACATTTGCTTCAATTTGAACATTTGATTGACCTAAAAAAATAAATTAAATCAAGTATGGACTTCTGTATTCATATTGATTCTGTATTCATTGTAAAAGTATTCATACTGATTCATAAATAGTAGAGTAAATAGACTGGCAAAAGGCTTCTAGAATAGATTTTGGTGGGCACTTTGTTGCTAAAATGTAAAACCTATTTTTTTTCGTTTCTAATATCTTTCTAATGCAAAATCACTTGGTCGTCCAAAAATCGTAGCGGGAGAAGAGTGGTGGGGAGCCTTACAAAAAAGAAGTGCTAATTTTTTTTCGCCATTTTTCGGATCTACGATAACCGAAAATTCATTCCTCAAATTTTCATGTTGATCTGGACATTAGAAATATTTTTATTTTATTTATAAAAATACGTCAAACCATTGTTGTATATGGAGCGCCTTCATACAAAATCACTTGTTCTGAAAACCCATATTTTTAAAATTTTTTACCTCGCTCTACCTCGAAAAATATTGGGTTTAGCAAAAAATTACTTTCCATAAACATTATAGACCAAAAATCAGAGAACACGTGGGTTTTTTTAGAATTTCGATTGGATACTTAGTTTAAGAAAGAATTAAATTAATCGAACGGCATGTCACGACGGATAGCGCTGAACGCAGAGATGCGAGGAAGGGCGAGATTTCTAATCTGAAGTCAAAGCAAATCGACTCTAGTGATGGCGATGTTGTTAGGGTCGATTTTACATTGAAACGCTATTATGTTGTATATTCTATTGCGAAAGTGCATCATTGTGCAATATTTTTTACTAATAGCGCGAAATCCACTGAGCTGAGATTTTTAATATTAAAAGTTTTAAATTATTAAAAGTTATTAATTAGCTTATTGCTATAATAAAAATATTAAATATCTACTTAATATTAAAGTAAATATTTTTTTCATCTAGAAACGGATTTAACGAAAAGCAGCAGGTCTGACAGTGAACTTGAGTCAAAAATCAGATTAAGGCATGTTTTTTTCCATAAAGTCCATTTCCTTTTCAGTTTGTTGAAGGACGCGGAAACTGGAGAATACATTTTTGTTCTAGTTTTCGAAAAATGCATCCTTACTTCTTTGCATTTGGCCATGTGAACTATTCTTTTTTGGGGAACATTATATTTGTTGGACATGTACAAATTTGCTGATAAGTATCCAGAATTTCATGAAGACTTTATTAGAGGAAATTTTGTTGTGAAAAGTTTGAACAGAAAGAAACTTTTACCAACTATTTGTAGATATAGCTTTAAACACATAAATACAAACTCAAAAGATGCAGGAGGAATCGTGTGATTTACTAAAACCAGCACAAAACTAGACGAATGGTTTTTAAGCTACAATATGATTGGCATGATGGTAGATGAATTTCGTGCATCATGAGACCTAAGCAACCACTCAAGTCAAAACGTAGAAAGTAGAAAAAACGGATGAAAATTGATGAATATTCTGTACAAAAACTACATGATCAAATTTTTACGATTTAATGTATTTTTAAAAAGCGTAGATCGTCTTCTCGTAATTTCAGCTAATGAGATTGCATCGCCAAATGTTCAAACATCCTTACTAAATAATAAACAAAAAAAAAAATGAAAAAGAGAGCCTAGCAAAATTTATTGTTACTGTTGGAACTCCCAATTTTTATCAGCACAGAAAAGAGAATAATCTTCCAACACTTCGTCGCGCAGATACCTATAAAACTGTCTCTGAAAAGAAGAAAATAATTCAAGCTGAGCAAGAATTTTTACAAAAAATACTAGCAACCAAGGCAATTGAAAGAGACATAAATATTATGAGGATATTTTCAAATAGGAATTGACAGCATATCCAATGTCACTTGTACCAGCAGGAGTTTTATCGATACCATAAAATAAAACTGCCTTAGGTTCTATAATAGAACAGTTTACAGTTGTTACAAAATCACAAAACGTGTCACATTTTTGATGGTATGGGATTGATTCAAGCCGTTGGCAAACCATCAAATGCCAAAACATTTGACGACTATGCAAGAATTTTGAAATCAATAGTGTTCAAGAACCCCTACAGCGTTAAAAGGATCGATTTTGTTTTGGATCACTACAAGGAATCTTCCATAAAAAACTGCACAAGACAAAAGAGAGGCGCCGAAATTGAATTCAGCTAGTTAAATATTCCTTAACAAATTGTACCGCTCACTTCGTATCCACCAGAGGATTTTGCGACGTTTTACATTACAAAACAAATTTTGGTTTGAATTCTGAAATATTAGTCTCATCACATAAAGAGGCCGATACCAGAATAATATTACACATTCTGTCAGCAAAAATGGAGGCATATACAAAATGTATAGTCGACTGTTAAGTTACCGATGTGCCCATTTTAAAGACCTTTCAACTCCAGAAGTTTAGATGAGGGTTGGAACAAAGGACAACGAAAGATTTATAGGTATCCACGAACTCTATGGATTACTCCCTAAGGAAATGTTGACCAGCCTTTCATATTGGAAGGTATTTCTATTAAATTATAGTCTCCTATCTAGAGTGGGAAGTGAAGAATATTTGAGCAAAGATGTTTTCGATGATATGATATTGTTAAATCTGTTATTCTTCTTTATACACCTAACGACAATATTAAGTGTATTAATACTCTAAGAGGTATTTTGGCCACTATGAAACCTATTCATAAACTGCCTCCTACTTTAGACAGTCTGAGGCAACACTGCCTTCGTATACACTTCCAGACAAACATATGGCTATGTAGTACGACACCAAGACCATGTCTGCCAAATCCATTGCTAAGTGGCTGGAGTAAACAAAATGGAGAGCTGGTACCAGTTTTAAGCACGGAACCCATGTTGACGAAAGATACATATATTCTGAATAGTTGTAAATGTAAAAAAGGTGAGTCAACTTTTGCCTTTTTATGTGAAGAATAATTATATTAGCTTTTTTTTTATAATTTTCAGACTGTACAGGGCCCCAATGTCGTGTAAAAGCAAACAGATCAAATGCATTGGTTCTTGTAAATGTGTGGTCCAGGCGAAATGTGGCAATAAAGGTAATATACGTGAAACAATTTTAACCGTAGAAGATGTTAGTTCTTCTGAGAATACTGAAGAGTCTGACTTAGAATAAGATAACTAACATAAGATATCTAGTGAGTAAGAAATAGGTAAGTACATAGATTTAATTGTTTTTATTACTATCCTTTGTTCTTGAATCAGAAATGTATTGCCAAGGAAAACCGATGCCATTAGTCCTTAGTAAGCTTTATAATAATAACAATAATCTGTACGAAAATTTTTGGGGATACGGGATACCTCTACATACTAAATCACCTAGGGCTCGATAACACAGAAAGAGTCCCACCAGAGCTCAATCCTTTTGATATCGTAAGTATCTGAGATAAGTGAATTTTTCCCTTTGAGGGAGTGCAAGCCGTATGGCTAAATCTGGATAATATTAATAATTTAATAATAGTAATAATAAGTATCCAACCTTAAAGATATACAACAGTACCTATTATGATAACATAAATACTACTATATATTTTATCACTTAACACATACAGTATTCTAAAAGTGTTCTGACAACAAAACGAGCCAAAGAAGTCACTATTTACGCTAGAAGTATTCATCCTCCTTATAATCAGCATCACAATGAAAAAACGACCATAACAACATCGTCATCAATAGTTTGCGGTCGATTTGCGGATGACTTTGGCACAGGAATCTCGCCCTTCCTCGCATCTTTGCGTTCAGCACTGTCAGTCGTGACATGCCATTCGATTTATTTAATTTTTTCTTAAACTAATTATCCAATCGAAATTCTAAAAACCCACGTGTTCTCTGATTTTTGGTCTATAATGTTTATAGAAAGTAATTTTTTGCTAAACCCAATATTTTTCGAGGTAGAGCAAGGTAAAAGATTTTAAAAATATGGGTTTTCAGAACAAGTGATTTTGTATGAAGGCGCTCCGTATACAACAATGGTTTGACGTATTTTTATAAATAAAATAAAAATATTTCTAATGTCCAGATGGGTATGCAAATTTGATGAATGAATGTTCAGATATTGTACATCCGAAAAACGATGAAAAAAAATAATTGCATTTTTTTTTGTAAGGCTCCCCACCACCCCCTCCCACTACGATTTTTGGACGACCAAGTGATTTTGCCTTACAAAGATATTAAAAACCAAAAAAAATGGGTTTTACATTTTAGCAATAAAGTTCCCACGGGATAACACAATAGGATCCTGTTTAAACTATACTAAAATGACTTTAAATGATAAACACTAATTTTCCAATCTCACTAGTTGACTCCTATACTAACCTTCAGTATTATAGCTCAAAGTATTGTCTTCTTGATCATCTACATCATCAAAAACAAATCCATCATCCAAATCATCTGCACTTCTATGATACTGCTTGGGCTTTTCGTCCTCATTATTATTCATCCTTCTTAGCCTCTCTTGCTCCAACTGTTCTAAATTTTCTTTCTCTTCTTTGGCTATTTCATCTTCAGTTTTTAATCTGTCTGAAACTGTCCCCCTTTTCTCAAACATTAACTCCCTCATTACTTTGTCATAGTCATCAATTGGTGGTTTTTTAACTTCTTCCTTATTTCGAGAATTTTGACTAACTAATGGAATGAGATCTTTCCATTCTGTGTCTAGTTTTTCTGTTAGTTCGAGAGTGGCTTCTTTCAGCTTCTGTTTTTCTGCTTTTCTTTTCTTGGACTCGACAATAAGTTGGTTTATTAAATCTTTGTGGGTCATAGCTCCTAAAAATCAAAATATATCTTAATAAAACTGTATAAAATGTACAATAAATCTACTAACCTTCTTTTCCTGTGTTTGTAAATAGCCCTCCGCCAAAATGAGCTTCTTTTACAAAATTTGACTCCAAATTTCCAGTCTTTTTTTCGCTATCGGACAAGTCTTCATCATCTGATCTAGGATCGTCAAATTTTTCAATTTCGTTAAGTGTCTGTCCTTTATGAGTTAAAATTTCATCGTCGGCAAGATTAAAAATACTCTTTCTATTATGGGCTTTGACTTTCAGTGCCGTAAACCTCGCCAAAGCTTTTTCTTCACTGTCCATGTGAGCTTTCTCGCCAATTCGTCTGTCGAGAAATTTATTGTTTTTATTTTGAACCTTGTATTCTTCCAGTAAGGTAGTTTTTCGTTTATGGATGGCTTTAGCTCTGGAGACACCTGGAAGACCTCTATCATTCTTTTGCTTCTTGCCTATAACTTGTAGCTTTTCCCTATTTACATGAACCTCGAAGGGATTCGTCTTTTTCGGTTCTTTTTTAACATGAACACGCTCAGCTGATACTCCCTTTTTGTTTTTTACTTTCACCATTGTTACTAAATGTAAAAATGTTCAAGATAAATATCAGTTAATTTTTTAAATAAAAATAAATATTAGTTTACTTTTAACATGAGCACATTATTGAACCTAACCTTAAATAAATAATGTGTCAAATTATTTCTACTTCTGTTCTAGTATAGGCAATACTACATGCATTAAATTATTAAGAAAATTGCCTATCTGTAGTACTCTCTTTTATATTAAACTTTGAAACATAATTTATAATACTGTGATCAGTTTAAAAATATTTACAGTTTTCATTATGTAACAATTCTCATTTACACCAAGTATTTCCTGATATGTATCAATATATATCGTATGTATATATATGTATATCGACGTCTATGTAAATAAACTTATGTTGCTTACTGGCAATTCATTAGTGCAGTGTTTCCCAAATGTCTCAAAATTGCGGACCCCCAAAATTAGACAATAGGATCATGGGGACCCCAGAAACAGTTTCGTTAGAAAAATAAAAAAACAACTATTGCGTTTTTTAAATATGTTATTTAATTAATAATTAATAAAAGAAAATAGAAATAAAATACAATGATTACATTATAAAACTTATAAATTTTCAGCAGTTTTAAATTTTAATGAAAAGAATGGAACACTGATTTTTCCTTCATAATTTTTTGTAAATCAGGTCTAATATTTGAAATTTTTAACCTTAGATCTGAAACAACATCCAGTCGATTTCTTTGTTTTGATTTTAAAATAACGTATACAGAGAAAGCCTGTTCACATAAATACGTCGTACAAAATGGAATCAAATGTTTCATAGCCTTTTCGGAGAGATCGTTGTAATCAGAATTAATTTTAATCCAAAACTGAATTAAATCGTTGTCGTTAAAAATATCTTTTTTAGAACTGCTACAAGACAAGTCCACGAGCTGATCTTGTTGTTTTTTTGTAAGACTAGCATTTTCTTCAATTCTTGATGTAACAAACGGGTTTCTAATCCAGCTGTTTTCATCATTTGGTGCAGGAAAATATTCACGAAAACTTATAACTACATTCCGCAAATGCTCGCAAATTATAAGTTGAATCTCTTGTGGCAAAGTTTCTTCCTCGGATTTCAGAAACGAATCTAAAGTCGGAAATGAACTTGATCAAATGAAAGAAAAAGAAATTGGAAATAAATTAAGCACAAATGGGCAAGGGCTTGACACATAAAAATAGAGACAAGATACAGAATTCAACTTTAATGAACTTAGTAAAGGGAAAAAAGACAAATTAATGATAAAAGTGTACAAAATAAAAGCGAAGAGAGAGAAAAAGAAGGAAAAATATATACATAATGGATAAAATTAAATGGGTACTGTAAAATTTCTCAGATAATATAAACTATGCAAAATACAGGTTAAAGTAGTGTTAAATCCAATGAAGAAGACCTGCAACGACTTATAAACGTGGAACCGAAGCATGTGATGAATATGGGCTAAAACTTAATATTTCTAAGACAAAACTTACGGTCGTCAGCAAAACGGAGTTACAGCCAACGAACATTAGAGCGTATGGAACAGAGTAAGAAAAAGTCCACAATATTACCTATTTGGGCGCAAACGTTAACGATAATTGGGATATAAATAAAGAAATAAGAATAAGCATTGAAAAAGGCAGAGCCGCCTTCCATAAATTAAAGAAAATTCTAATTAAAATAGATTTTACGTTAAACCTTAAATTCAGATTAGTACGCTGCTACATATTCTTCACATTGCTGTATGGTATGGAGAGCTAGACCTTTACATGAGACATTAATGAAAAAATTTAAGATCTTTGAGATGTGGATTTATCGACGAGTATTGCGGATAAGTTGGGTTTATCAAATAAGAAATGAAATACATAGTTTTACATTGAATGAAAAAGAGCACAGAAATAACAAAAACGATAAAAATTAGAAACTTACAATATTTCGGTCATGTAATGAGATATCCAGAGAGGTATAACCTTCTACACCTCATAATTCTAATACTGATAATAATGATACATGGCTAAAACATCGAGGCTATGGGCGAAAATGACATGTATAAATATCTAGGAGTAAAGCAAGCGCGGAAAATTGACCATAAACAAATGAAAATCGAATTAACATCAGAGTTCATACGAAGGGTAAAACAGCTACTCCGCTCATATCTTAGTAGTAAAAATTTGTTTAAGGCATTAAACACCTACGAATTTTCCGCGCTTAGCTACTCATTTGGGATTATTAAGTGGACTAAAACGGATATAGAAACTCTTCAGCGAAAAGTACGAACACATCTCACAAAGGCACAAAAACACCATCCTCGAAGTGCAGTAGAAAAAACGACATTACCGCGGAATTTAGGAGGACGAGGACTTATGGATATCAGCGAACAATTAGAAAATCAGATTACTAATTTAAGAACTTATTTTCAGGTGCAGGCGGAGACATCTACTCTTCATCGCGCGATTTGTGCAATAGATGACACACAATCTATCAAACTGAGGGAACAAGAAATGCTCATAAACCATTTTAACTAAAACAAAAAAATGCGCATCTGGATGGGTAAACCTCTGCACGGGCGACATCCAAATGAAGTCAGCCAAGACTATGTCGACAATATAGCGTCGAACTATTGGTTGACATCAGGAAAGATGTTCCCTGAAACAGAAGGTTCATTGTTTGCCATTCAGGATCAGGTTATACCAACCAAAAATTACCTGAAATATATTGTCAAAGACCCTCAGGTCCAAAACGACCAATGCCGATATGGATGTCAAGCCCAAGAAACCATCCAACATCTTACCGGGGGCTGCCAGGCATTTGATACAACTGAATATAAGGAACGGCATGACTCAGTAGGGAAGATCCTCCATCAAGAGATAGCTTTTAAATTGGGACTTCTACAAACAAACCATCTCCCATATTATCAATACGTTACTGAGAGTATGCTTGAGATTGACAAATAAAAGCTATACTGGGATCGCACTGTGCTCACAGACCAAACTTAAGCACATAATAGACCATATCTCGTGCTAGTTAATAAACTAACGAGACAAACAACATTAATCGATGTGGCGATACCTAACAACAATAATTTGCGTACAGAGATCTGGAAACACAAATAAGGAGACAATGGAGAATGGAAAGTACCCAGACTATACCTATTACTCTTTCTACCACTAGAGTCATTCCGAAGAACCTCGTAGACTGGGTCTAAATGAAAATCTATATAAGATCATGCAGAAAGCTGTGCTACTTTCGACGTCCAGATGCGTGCGAAAATTTTTGGGAGATAAACCGACGTACCAAGTCACCTAGAACTCGATAACATGGAAAGAGTCCCACTAGAGCTCAATCCTTTTGATACCGTAGGTATCTGGGATGAGTGAATTTTCCCTTTAGAGGGAGTGTGAGCCGTACGGCTAAATCTGGATAATACTAATAATAAGATCGCCGGAAGGAGGGGCCCAGGCTGATGAAGAACATCCTGGCTCGGAAATCTCCGAGATTGGTATCAAGAGACCACTGCTAATTTATTAAGAGCCGCCGAAAACAAAGTTATTATTGCCAATATGATCTCCAACGTTCGATAATCGGAAAGAAGAAAAAGATCACAAATTGGGGGAAAAGGAGAACTACGTTGTAAGAAATAAGGGTAAAGTGTGAGAGCTGTGAGAAATAAATACAAACAGAGAAAAAAATCGGACAACGCAGTATATTTAATATTAAACTGTTTTATATTTTGGATTTTTGGCTCAATCTAAGAAAAAAATCGTTTTCATCCTCTTATCAATTTTTGTACCGTATCAAGCGACAAGAAACTTTCAGCACGTCCATGTGGTTCGTAATCTGCGACTAGAAATAACAAAGTTAAGAAATTATCGTCTGAAATTCAATAGAGCCATTTAAGTCAATCAGGCCAGGATGAATAGGGGGTAGACGATCGCTGAATGTTGAAAATGCTAAGTAAATAGACTGCGACCATATTTTATGTTTCGGTTTTTTAACACGTGTATTATTTTGGCTCGTGTGTTTTAACTGCCGTGTCGTGTAGGTTTTTATTATAGCTCTTCATACGGTGAATGGGATAGTTATTCTGTCACGTTGTTATTGGTACGAAAAAATGACACAAAGTAAGAGAAGTGAAGTAAAAATAATACTATACTCGATTTAGAAATGCATGATAGCCCAGTTTTTATGATCTTGGGTGGCCCAAATTCTAAGTCTTGTTCATTTGTATTTTATGTTGTATTTTATTGTCAACAAAGATGTTTGGACAAACGGTACAGTGGTATCAAAGTTTTTTGTAAAGGGGATGATGCCAATGTGACTAGATCCTCTTTAAACATATTCCGTGATTTTGTTAATTTTTTCCATACTTTCTAGTGTAACTTTTGAATGGGTCACCCCAAAAATGATTTGCTTAGGTATAAAAATGATCTTCCCAATCCCACTGCAGTACACTTGGAAGCCACTGCTTCTTTGAATGTCCAACACTCAGTAACTATCCTTTGTTCAGCCACAGTCTAACCAAAAGACAGTAGGCCTACATCTTCTACAGCACTCAAACCAAATGCGAGTCCTGTTATAGCCACTGGTAATCACGAAGACTACAATTATTCAAATGTAAGGCAACAAGCATCCCATACTTCTTCAGATACGGTAGAATCAGATGTCTCGAAGGCTTTAATCCTAACAGAATAGCCAGAAACCTCTGTCTCTACCTTTGCAATAGAACAGAAGCTAGTTCTGCAAACAAAGTTCAAGTAGAAAAGAAAAGCTCTGTCTCGCCAATGGCAGCTAATCTGGAAAGCTCAACGTAGATGGCGCTAGCCTAGTTGGAGGTCATGTCAACTGTCCAAATCTGTATATTTTTAAGTAAATATTGCATTTATTTCGCTGTGTAGATTAAATTTGGGATGATAAGATGCCTCAGTGTTGTGCTGTTCATTTGTGTTCATCGAGAATATCAGAACACAGGTTTCTCAAAGATAATCTGATGAGAAAAAAGTGGATTGTGGCAATAAGAAGAGATAAATGTGTGCGACAGAAATGCATTTTTACTCGTATCTACAATAAACTAAATATTATAAATAAAGGATAATATTTGTATGC